AAATGTTCTCTGATCATAGACAATCAATATCTACATTTATTATTGTTATTAGTGCCTAACCCTGAACACTACCCAGGACCCTGGGCTCTTCTTCTTTCATAGGCCCTTCCTCCATTAAAAAAATAAATAAATAAAGTAAAACAACAACAATAACAAAAGTTGAAATTCTACTTGGTGGCCATGTTAGGGAAAAGGTGAATATATTAATATTATACACTAAAACATCTTCTGATTTTAAAGAAAATTGGGCCTGATGAATTCATCGGTCAGCTCCAACAATGCTCTGTGTCTATTGATTGGCACAGCCTGCATGTCACCCACATGGTTACTGAGTCCTGATTCTTAGAGGGGAGGATCAATGCTGTGTGTGACCAGGAGGTTATTTTCTTATTGCTAAGTGCCAGTGGTTGAAACCAGCTGATCTCCATTGACAAGGTCTTTATCTTAAGTTCCAGCTGAGGCTCTGTGCACAATTTACACCACAAAGTTTACAAAAGCAACATTTGTGTTGCTGCAAGGGACAACGCATTTACTCAGAAAGAAGAGTTCTGCTCATGGTTACTGTAGCTCAGTTTTATCCTGTGCACATTTCTGCTCTGCACATAGAAGCCACCACTTGGAGCAGAGCAAAATGACCTGGAATAGATAAGGTATCAGAGGAACAGACTTGTCATTCTTTCTTCCCTGAAGATTCTGAGGATGTCCCCATTAAGAGAGAGAGAGAGAGAGAGAGAGAGAGAGAGAGAGAAAGGGAGAAGATAAAGTAAGATAAGATAAAAGAGAAAGCAAATTCCAAAAATTTTCTTTTCCTTCTTGGGTCTAGAGTTTTTTGTAGTTCTCAACTTTTGTTATTAGGACTGTCTTCAGAATAAAATAAATCATATAATTACCAAATTGATCTAACGTGAAAATTATTGTAAATCAAATGAGTAGAAAAGTTCACGAAGGAACCCTAGGATGACTTATTTGTTAAAGTAATAAAATCCTCCCCTGTGGCCCTTCCGTGGGCTGTGGCAGAGGACTGAACAGTGTACAGCGAGTGTCCTTCAAAGTAGAACCCACGAGGGAGGCACGGGCAAAAAGACATTTATTTTGCATCTAAATTGCAAATTACTTTATCCAGATCTGCAAATTACTTTATCCACGACTCGTGCCTTATCTTTGAGGTCTTGGCATAATGTTCCACCCTAGAAAGAGAGGTTTGCTGATCATGCTCAAATTCGTTTTGCCACTTCCCTGATTTATTTTCCTGATAGTACTTGTCATCACCTGAAGTTATTCAGATAGTTGTTTATTGGTGGTTGGTCCATTTGTTTGTCATTTGGCTTCCACTACTGGAGTTTAAGCACCATAAGAGAAATAATGCATATGTCCTGTTCACTGCTGAATTTTCAGTGCCTAGAATAGTGCTGCCAACTATTTATTGACTGAAATATCGACTGAATGCATAAGTCAAAGTCCGCTGCCAACATCCCTGGAAACACACATCTGCCTATTTCTGGGGGATAACAAAGAGCCTGCGGATCTCAGTGTGTTAGAGCTGAAGATCCTAGACAGTCACCTGACACCACTCACTGCACAGCCTCAGACGATGCAGGGAGGCCTCGAGAGTAAGAATTGCTCGTGCCAGAACCACTCGGAGGTTCAGAGGGCCCAGCTGTTTCCAATTCCCGAGGCAGACCTCAAACCACGATTCTGAAATAAAGGCATATGAAAATCAAACAGAGGGCTAAGCAAAGTCATCTCCTCTAAGATAAATAACAGTCTGTCTGCTCTCACGCAGCCGAAATTAATCAAGGCAAGACCATCCCAACACCCAAACAAGCCACTCTTGCTCTCTGAGCTTTCAACCTAAGCCAGGGATATTCTCGTTCTCATTCCTCAACTCAAGGGTGGCAAAAAAAAAAAAAAAAGCTAAAATGTACTAAGAGTTTACCATGTCTTGGGCATTGCTCAGGGTTTTACATTCCTCATCTGTTATCTCCATGTTAAAGGGGAATTTAGGCTTAATGACATTAGATGATTTGCCTGAGGTCACACAGCTAATAATAGCAGAGTGTGGGTACCTTCTCAGGCTGACACCAAAACCTGTATTAAAAGATTGTTTTTTAACTTATATTTTAAATAGATAATAAATGCAAAAGCTATATATAAGTTTCCTATAAAAACTACCTCCTACCTATAGCCCAATTTCTCTTCCCAAAGGCAACCAATATAATAAGCTTCCTGAGGCTCTTTCAAGAGGTATTTTATGCAGATACAAGGCAAGAGAGGTGTATGTGTGTGGGGGTGTCTGTGTGCCTGTATATATTTTTGTACTTTTTGCTCTGGAAAATGTCCAACATATGCAAATGTGGACAGAATCCTATAGAGGAACCCCAATGTTCACATGGCCTGTTCAAGGAGTATCAGAACAATCTTATCTCAACTACACCCCACTACTCTATCCCAGGCATCATTTCATTTCATTTATAAATATTTCTCTGTGTGTATGAGAAAGAGGAAGACTCTTAAAACATAACCAAAATTAATAATCACCCCTGAAAATTAATAATTCTTTCATATCATCAAATATCTAGTCAGTATACAAATTTTCAACATCTTGTAAATGTCATATTTTTATAGTTTCCTTATTTGGATTGTTTTTAAAATTTATTTTTAAAAAAATTTTTGGCAGTACTAGGGATTGAATCAGGACTATTTTGCCACTGAGCTACATCCCTGGCCCTTTTTAGATGTTTATTCACCATGTTGTCTCACTGACCAAGACTGCCTGATTTAATCCACATCAATCAGTAATCACAAAATATCACTGGTTTTGCATAAAAAGCTACTTTTCTTGCTCACACTCTGTGTCCAGTACAGATTAGATGAACCTATTTATATTCAGAGACCCAGCCTTCAGGGACCACCTTGACATGGGCATCTACTAACACTAGGTTGTGGCAAATTGCACGCGCGTGCGTGCGCGCACACACACACAAACACACCTGTAATTAAAGCCTTTCACTCTCATTTTGTTGGCCAAAGCAAGTCCTATAACCACCTGAGTCCAAGATTGGGCATTGCAGTCCCAGGTGTGCCAAGAAAAGAATGGTTTATATCCTTCCATGGTGGTATCAAATCCAAGGCCTCATGCCTGCCAGGCAAGGGCTCTGCCACTGAGCACATCCCCAGCCCCCTTTTCTTTCCTTTTTTTTTTCTTTATTTTTGAGACAAGGTCTCACTAAGTTGTTGAAGCTGCCTTCAAACCTGTGATCCTCCTTCCTCTGCCTCCCAAGTAGCTGGAATTACAGGTGTGTGCCACTGCACCCAGCATGAACTGCTTTTTGTTGCCCGCATTTCTATGATTTTGTGTAATACATTCGCAACTGAAGTAATGCAATACAGCCCCATGTACTAGCAGATCTCTCTGATCGGGCTGTGAGGTCAATTTGGGAACATGAATGGGGCAAATATTCAGAGAGAGGCCCTACTTACTCAACCACAAAGCCCCCTGGCCTCTAATGTCCCAGACTTTGGCAGAAGAATCATTGTTCTGTAAGCACAGGGAGACAGACTTCCACCTTCTCACTTCAGGAGCCAAGATGATTCTGTTACCTACCGGCCAATTTAGCTTTTTTTGGGTGCAACATCTGGAACAAATGCATAATTTGTTTGGTCACTTTTACATAAAAATAAATAGTCTGTATTTCACAGATCCGGTACAAGGTGCTGTTTGTTTAGACAGTGATTTTTTTTTTCCAGATTTGCGAAGCCAATAGAACTTGAAAGTTTCAACATAAACAATGAAGAGATTAAAATAAACCGTAATGGAGCTTAAGAGATAGGAACATTTTCTTCAACAGGAATTGTGAGCTCATTATTCTTCCTAAAAATGTAAACTGATTCAGTTAATGCCAAGTCAACAGATAGAGAACCAGAGGAATGCAGTACCTGTCTTATGTTCAAATATAGAATGTTTGGAAAACCAGTATGACTCGAGAGGCTGATGTATGAGGATCACAAATTCAAGGACAGATCAGCAATTTAGCAAGACCCTCAGCAACTTAGGGAGATCCTGTCTCAATATTTAAAAATAAAAAGGTCTGAGGATGTAACTCAGTGGTAAAGTGCCCCTAGGTTCAATCCTCAGCACACCCTGCAAGAAAAGTTTGGAGGTAAGAGGTGTGTTCCGTCTTTCTATTTGCTAGAATATAACCTCTCTCAAGTTACTTCCTGTAATAGGGGGTTTCTTTTAAGGAATAAGAGAAACAGGGAACTTATGGGAACCTAGTGTTGAGAGCCACAGCTCGTTTCTTTTGACAAGTGGTTCCTGAATTGTGCCCAGCCAGACTGCGGCAACCTAGCTTGAAAACCAGTGTGCACCCACACTTCAGTGGAAATGAAACCTTATGCTAAGCATCCCAGGAACCCATCAGCAGCATTAGTGGGGTTTCTCATGGAAGAACCCAGGGGAAGAGTGAGTTATCTATGGTTAGTGCTGAAGCCTTGGTGGGATGGGTAGCGGTTGGGATTTCTTTCATGTCCTGAGATGGAATGACAAGCTGACAATGTACAGTAAAGAAGCTAATTAAAGTGTCCGTTGTCTTTTGGGGATCCAGGCTATGTGCTCACTGAAAAAATAGGGACTGTGAGGACAGATTTGTTAGATAACTTCTTACCTTAGCAAATTATGGCATGCCTCCAGATATCAGTGGTTGCTGTTGTTTTGGGCAGTGCTGGAGAGTTAGACCCAGGGCCTCTGGCTAGGCAAGCACTCTACCACTAACTGACACCCTCAGCCCTAGCAAATTATGGCATGAAAAAGAGAAATCCCAGTTTTGGATCAGTCAGTTTAAAGAAGGTGTTTTTTTTTCCCAGCAACCATGATAGATTGTATTATTTATTTGAAATATTTGCTGTTCATGTCCACTAGTTCACCCCCAGAGGGCCCAGCCCTGAGGCCCCACCGATTGGAAGGAACGCACATCTTGCTTATCATAGTTTATCAAGTGACTTTTTATATCTGATGGAATTTACATAATGTCATTGCATGGTTCTGCCATTGCTTTGTTCCCTCTGCTTTTAGACTAAGAGAAGCTGCTCCTTCACACTGAATCACAAAACAAAAACTACAGAGCAAAGAGTGATCTGTTGCTAATAGGCATAGAAGCAAGAAACCAACATTGATGTTGCAGGGTGCTAGGATTTGGAGGGGGCATTTAATATTGCAACATAATTTAATTGAAGTTAATGTGTACAGATATTGGGACCAGAAAGGTGATGTCGATCAGCAAAAATTCTGAAATATGTGGCATGTTGCCTACAATGTGAAATGTGGACCAAATGAACTTGTGACTTGAGTCAAGTAGTGGGAGAATAAAACATGGGTGTCATAAGTCTTCTTCTATTGTTGGCCTATGACAAGAGACTACAAAAACAATGTAAGCTCCAAATAGAATGTCCAGCTTGAAAGCAGAATTGAAAGGGAATTGCAGATAGTCCAAGGATTACAAAGTCAGAATGGGGGAGGGGGGGTAAAGAAGGGGAAATAAGGAGAACTGGCTGGAAGCTCTTGGAGAAGAAATCCACCTCTAAATCCCTTTGCTCATGCTGCTCCCAGGGCCACTACTCCTTCCTTGCCTCTCTGGTGAGTGCACAGAGAGTCATAAGTAGCACCAGGGAACGCCAGTCACAGTAATGGCTTCAGACACAGTCTGTATGTCGAGTGCTTCATGCAGAGATACCCTAGCCTTTTCCTCTCATTCAACCCAATTGCACTGGTGGACAGACCCTTCCTCTCCAGTAGGAGATTCAAAAACTCTCTGGAGAATGAGAGAGAAAAGATCTTAAGATACTGACATTAGGGGCCCCCAAGCAAATGGTTCATCTACAACATCCCAGTATAATGGGAAAATGATCAAAATTATTATGAATTCAGAACTTCCAATCAGCCCTGTACTTATTGGAGCCAAGAACTGATAGATGGCTGAGAAGACTGAAAAAACAAATAGAACAAAATCAACCTGGAGAAAATAAATACTAGTATATACATATATGTTTATATAATGAAAGACTTTAAAAATCAGAAACATTTATGGTACCTTATAATATCCCTACTAGTAAAATTATATATATATTATATAATTAATATCTTCAAAGTCATAAAATTTGGCCTACATAACACAGCGTGTTTTTTTAATATTTATTTTTTAGTTGTAGGTGAACACACAATACCTTTATTTCATTTTTATGTGGTGCTATGGATGGAACCCAGTGCATCACACATGCCAGGCAAGTGCTCTGCCACTGAGCCATAATCCCAGCCCCCGGGGTTTTTTAAGAATCATTCAAACATCAAAAAAGAAACCTTGGAAATCCAAATATTATGACAAAAATAACTGTCTCAATAAAATAGATGGAGGGTCAATTTGAGGAAATCTTCCAGAATGGTAAGAAACACCAAAAAATGAGAAGCAGAAAATGAAGATAGTAAAATTAGAGAACCAAGAGGTCTGACACTTAAATTTTAAGAAATTAGAGACAGTAAAGTAAGGAAATCAGAAATCATCAATGAAATGATTCAAGATAATCCTTAAAACTTAAGGACATGAGTAACTTGAGGTGACCACCGAGATTCACACCAAAATACATCATGTGAAATTTCAAGTCACGGCAGTCATTCCAAAGAACCTGTAAGTTCCCAGACAGTGTGGTTGGCTGGCTCCGTTGCTTTGGGCCTGAGGAGAGGCAGAACATCAGGGTGAAAGGGCACAGTAGAGGACAACTTCTCAGATCATTGCAACAGGGACGCATAAAAAGAGAAAGAGTACGTGGGAAGGAGGGGAGGGGCCAGCACAAGAAGTCTCCCTCCAGGACAAATCCCCACTGATCCACTTCCTGTAACTGTGCTGACTGCCTATAATTTCTACCACTCCCAGCAGTGCATGCAGCTATCAATGAATTAATCCATCGATGAGGTCAGAGCCCTCATGATCCAATCATTTCCTAAAAGTGCTCCCTCTGAACATAGCTGAGTGAGGGACCAAGAGATGCTGGGGACATTCTTGATCCAAACCATATCAGGGCTTTAGACTTCTTAAGAAAGACACTAAAAGCAAAAAGATTTTTTTAAAAAAATGATGCAGAACTTATTATCCTATATCCAAGAAAACTATCGATTGAATAGGAGTATAAAATAAAGACACCTTAAGACAAGTTCTCAGAAATTGATCTTCTATAAAATCTTTCTCAGAAAGCTATTAAAGGAAGCACACTACTAAAATTAGAGAGTAAACCAAGAAAGAAAAGGCATGGAATACACGAGAAAATCGACAAAGAAAGAGAAAAAGGCATCCTTGGGGTGATGAAGGGAGGCCCTGAGCTGAGCAGAGGACACAATCCAGATGGAAGCACCCTCACCCGGAGAGGTGCCCAGAGGGTTGTGAGCAGGATCCCTGCTGCCTTTCTTTAAAATCAAGGTCAGAGTGCCCAGCTAAGCTTATTTACTTATCTTGTCCATGTTCTAATCGTTTATTCTTTCTCCTCCATGACCTACTGCTTGCATCAGCTGAGGGTCCTCATTTCACCTCACAGAAATCGTCTCCTCTAGCCTTCTCCTGAACAGTGAAGGTCAGAACTGGAGAGATGAGAGCAGCTGTCTTATAGACCATGTCACTGCTGGACCCACAATTTGATGCCTTAGCAGTGTTTGAGCCCATTTTTCCAGGTTCAACCCCGGAATTGCCCACGAGCTTTCCAGAGGGATACTGTCTGCACAGTAAATCTAAAAAATTGCACCTGGAGATGAAATTGAACCTATCTTCTCCCAGGAACCTACTTTTTAATAACAATTGAGGTTGTGTTTGCTACTCACTCAAGACCGAGCAAGAGATCCTTTGTGGATACTTGCATGGATTGTAAATCTACAAAGAAAAGGAAAGTTTGGAAAGAGGTTTCCTAGTGGTAAAGGGAAGAAGGGATTTTGAGAAGTCAAAGAGGCTTCTGAGATACTGAGATGATCCTTCTATGCCTGAAAAGAGAATGCACAGAGGTTCATTTTCTTCTCCTTCTTCTTTTCCTCCTCCTCCTTCTCTTCCTACTTCTTTATTTTCTCCTTCTTCATCTTCATTTTCTTATTCTTCTTCCTCCTCCTCTTCCTTGTCTTCATCTTCTAAATTGTATATATCTAAATTAACACAGAAAAATTGTACAAATTGTTGAGTCCATGTGATGTTTTGATTCATGTGTATACTGTGTAATGTTCAAATCAGGGTAAGCCTTCCTCAAGATGATCATTTCCTCATGGTGAAAACATTCAAAATCCTTTCTTCTGAAATTAAAGAAGACCTTAGAAGATGAAAAGATCTCCCTTGTACTTAGATAGGCAGAATTAATATTGTCAAAATGACCACACTACCAAAAACACTGTAAAGAGTTAATGCAATTCCAATCAAAATCCCAATGACATTCCTCATAGGAATAGAAAAAGCAATCATGAAATTCATTGGAAAAATAAGAGACCCAGAATAGCTAAAACAATCCTTAGCAAGAAGAGTGAGGCAGGTGGCATCACTATACCAGACCTTAAACCATACTACAGAGCAGTAGTAACAAAAAATGGCATGGTATTGGCACAAAAACAGACTTGTAGACCAATGATACAGAACACAGGACACAGAGACAAACCCACATAAGTACAGTTATCTCATACTAGACAAAGGTGCCAAAAAATGTATTGGAGAAAAGATAGCCTCTTCAACAAATGGTGCTGGGAAAACTGGAAATCCATATGCAGCAAAATGAAATTAAGCCCCTATCTCTCACCATGCACAAAGCTCAACTCAAAGTGGATCAAGGACCTAGGAATTAAACAAGAGACCCTGCACCTAATAGAAGAAAAGGCCCAAATCTTCATCATGTTGGATTAGGCCCCAACTTCCTTAACAAGACTCCTATAGTTTAAGAAATAAAATTAAGAATCAATAAATGGGATGGATTCAAACTGAAAAACTTCTTCCCAGCAGAAGAAACAATCAGTGAGGTGATGAGAGAGCTGGCAGAATAGGAGTAAATTTTTACCACACTCACATCAGATAGAGCACCTAGGATATATAAAGAACTCAAAAAACTTAACACCAAAACAACAACAACAAACAAACAAACAATGAGTAACCCAATTATTAACCCAATCAATAAACGGGCCAAGGAACTGAATAGACACTTCTCAGACAACGATATACAATCAATCAACAAATATAGGAAAGAATATTCAATATCTCTAGCAATTAGAGAAATGCAAATCAAAACTAAGATTTCGTCTCACTCAAGTCAGAATGGCAGCTATTAAGAAAACAAACAACAAGAACTGTCGCGGAGGATGTGGAGGGAAAGGCACACTCAAACATTGTTGGAGGGACTGAAAATTGGTGCAGTCACTCTGGAAAGCAGTATGGAGATTCCTTGAAAAACTTGGAATGGAACGAGCCACCATTTGACCCAGCTATCCCACTCCTCAGTCTATATCCAAAGGACTTAAAAACACCATACTACAGGGACACAGCCACACCAATGTTTATAGCAGCACAATTCACAATAGCTACACTGTGGAGCAACCTAGATGCCCTTCAATAGATGAATGGATAAAGAAACTGTGGTATATATACACAATGGAATATTACTCAGCATTAGAAGAGAATAAAATCATCGTATTTTCAGGTAGATGGATGGAGTTGGAGAATATCATGCTAAGTAAAGTAGGCCAATCCCCAAAAACCAAATGTCAAAAGTTTTCTCTGATATGAGGATGCTGATCCATAATGGGGTTTGGGAGTGCATGGGTGGAAGGGAGGAACTTTAAATAGGGCAAAGGGGAGGGAGGGAAAAAGAGGGAGTAGGGGTGTAGGAAAGATAGTGGAATGAGATGGACATCATTACCCTAAGTACATGTATGAAGACACACACACACACACACACACACAAATTCTTTCTTCTAGCGTTCTTGAAATATATAGTACATTATCATTGTAAATAATCACCCTACTGTGCCATATAACACAAGGACTTTTTTTCTCCTATCTCTTAGTACCTATTGATCAACCTCTACCCATCCATCCTTCTCCCACTCTCCACAGCCTATTTTTCTTCTAATTATACATAAATGTTTTCTATTCTATTATGCATGATATACCTCATAAAAAATTATTCTTTTAATTTAAGGAAGAGTCAAGTAGCAGTGAATGATTTAAAAAACAAAGAGGCTGAGGCAGCTGTGTTCACTGACGTGGCATGACATCCAAGGTCTTTTAGCCCAGTGAAAGGGCAAGGGCTTTACATATGCAGGGCACCAAAACAGAGATGCAAACCAGAAGTTCAAGGAATTTTGTCAAGTAAAAGGATATGGGACAAAAAAGAATGTTTATGATCTGGTGATTGAATAGAGAAATAGAAACAAAAAGAAAAACAAAAACAAAACCACATATCCCTCCACCCACCCACCCACCCCAAACACACATGTATCTAGCTTGGTACACAGGAGAAACACATCCTCAGAAGGACACCTTAAGAACTGAGAACACAGAACTGAAAACCAGAGACCAGGGACAAGGAATTCTCACATTCTACCTTCTTATGGTTTTGAATTTGGAAGCATTTGGAAGTTTTACATATTCAAAAACCTTTGAACTTGTTTTATAATAAGAAGCCTGATAGCAGCAGACCAGATCTAATGGAGGATATGGAAACATCTACTGCTGGGGGAAGCGGGGACAGGAGAAGTAAACCTCCTTGGAAAGCAAACTGGAAATATCTCTGTAAGTTTGGGCCAGCCACTACTCCTAAGTATGTGCTCTGAGAAACTGTTTGCACATGTGCCTCAGGAAATACAGACAGGAGCGTTCAGAACAAACTGGTGTGTGATGCCTGAAAAAGAAAGAAAGAAAAAAAAGAAGATAGCAACCTCCAAGTTTCCAAGAGGAGAATTGGGAAGAAATTCTGGTTGATCCTACAGCAGTGGAAGTGAGTCAACACACCCAAAATTACAAATAAAATGTGGAAAGGAAGCAAGTAGCAAAGGATATGCACTATATGATAAAAGTACGTCATATTCAAACACATTAATCAGCTCTGTGTCTGTGCATGTAGTAAAGTCTGAAGTGTATAAAATTGATGAAGATAAAATTCAAGGAGTGCTGGGATGTAGTTCAGTGGTAGAGCACTTACCTTGCATGTGCCAGGGCCTGGGTTAGATCTCCAGTAAAGCCAAAAATAAATAAATAAGAGAAATTAATTAAGAAATTCACAATAGTGAATCTTTAGAAGAGTGGGAAATTAATTATGGGAAAGGTATATAGAGCCTCAGGTCTATATGCTATGCTTTATTTCTAAAGCTGGGTGATGTGCTCGTGGGCTTCATTACATTACTCAGACTAACTTCTAAATTATCTGTTACACTTCATTTAAGTTAACAAAATTGCCATCAAAATTACTAGGAAAACATTTATGTTTCATTCAGCATAAATAAGATTATAAGAACTAAAGATTAATGGAAAAGGCAAATTCTAACCTTGATCTATTTATTGCTTCATATTCCAGGTTTGAGAAAATAATTTTGTTCCGTTGGGTCTTTCTAGGTTCACTAGAACAGAAAAAAACAGGAAGAGAAATGTCCTGAAGTTTTGCAATAAAACCATCAAATAGTTGAAGTTGGGAGAAATTATACCAATTGTATATTTCAAGCCCCTCTATTTTTGTTGTTGTTGTTGTTTGTTGTGGAGGTGTTTGTTGTTGTTGTTGTTGTTGTTTATTTGGGATGGGGTTTCACTGTGTTGCCCAGGCTGACCTTGAACTCCTGGGCTCCTCCTGCTTTGGCCTCCTGAGAAGCTGAGATGACAGGTGCTAGTAGACCTGATCCCTCATTTTTACAGGAGAGGTTGAGGCCCAGAATGGTAAGCAACCTGCCCAAGGTCATCAAAGGCTATGATAAGACAACAGATCCTGGCCCCTGGCCAGGTACTTTGTCCTGCACACCACATTCATATCAGGGAAATGAGCAGTGCTTTCCCTGGCTGAAGCATTAGCTTGGCTCAAGTTCGGCCACCACACCAGGGAGTTTTTGCCCAGCCAACCGTGCTAACAGTATATCCTGAATGGACAAAGGAAACAGCAGAGTATGAGAATCAGACGGGAGTACAGTTAGCCTCCCAGGAGGTGGACCCTGTTCATCACTCTGTGGGGCCAACTGCCTGAAAGGATGTAAGACTCTGAGCCCAGGCAGAGGCAGGAAAGTATCACGGGGCATGTCCAGGGTTCCCGTTGACTCTCTGAGCCTTCATACTAGCACATGGTGGAGCGATCAGATAGCTCTAGGTCAGTCCTGCCTAAGCCACTTATTAGATCAGACTCAGACTAGTTTTTACCTTCTCTCGTCCCCTGGTCATCTAAAAAAGGAGGAAAGTAACCGAATCCATTTCATATAATTGCTACAGAATTGGTGGAATTGGTGTATGTTAAATATATATGAACATGTGCATAGCATCTTGTATACAGTGTGAGCTCAATGGTAAGCACTGCTATAGAGAGAAAAGTTGCACATTTTCAGGGTCTAAAAACAAGTCTCCACTGGATAAGAGAACAAAAGCACAGTTATCATAGAACTGCTGTCTCAGTGCCACAAGTTACAAGCTCAAGGTCAGCAGGGCTTCTCCCTATCTTGCAGAAGTGATACATATTGATTTGAACACTCCTGTCTCTCAGACCAGCCTTCACTGAGGCCAGGAGGAAGGCAGATGATATAAAATAGGCTGTTCTCATTTTACCCCTGGATAAGTCACTGAAGTGACTCAGGACACCTTGGGCAGGTGTTTATAGGTGTCTTCATTCAATAAAGACATCAGTTAATGAGCCAGGTAACCCTCTTCACTCAGCCATGTGTGCCTTGGATACTCAGCAGTGCTCATCAGGCCTGGCGGGATTGCGAATCATATCTGAACGACAAGCAAAAAAATTGAGGTGGCCTTCAGAACAGGAGGGGACTTCCTGGCACAGTGGTACACACCTGTAATTCCATGAACTAGGAAGACTGAGGCAGACGCTAACCTCACAAGTTTGAGGTTAGCGTCTGTAATATATTGAGACTGACTCAAAATAAAAAGGAGAAGGTGTGGCTCAGGGGTAGGAGGATTCAATCCTCAAAACTGGGGGGAATTTAAAAAAAAATAAAGAGGAAGGGACCATCAAAGGCCCAGGGTACAGAAGAGATGTCCCAGTCTTTGAGCCTTTGAGAACATGGGTGGGTTTTGGTCCTCCAGCTGAGTATCCTTCCCCAGTCTTTCATTTCCCTCAAATAACACCTTCTGCCCTGAGCAACTTCATTTCAAATTCTCTTCTCTGAAGTTCAGTGCTATTTGGTGTCTGGATTTTCAGCCATTCCAAGACCCCCTAAAGGATGGAGTTTCTGCCCTCAAACTGGATTTCCTGAATGGGGGGAGATTAAACTCGATGTGTGACTTGATCCTAACACAACAGATACTTTCTTTCATGGAAATACCATCCAAGAGAATCTGAATTGGCAATATTAGAGATGCCGTATGTCTGCACAGATCCTCCACTAATGCAGCCCTGGGTGGCTTTGAGGCTCTAAACTCGTTTATCCTTGTCAAGATTTCTAGAACTTTTTTAAGCAATCACATAGATTAGTTTCTCACAAGCTCTTCACCAGCTGTCCACAGTCTCTGCATCTTAACTGACTTGCAGCTGGTCCCTCCCTGCTGCCTCTGGCCAGGCTGATTTCTCCGTCTCCACTGACCAGCTGTACTCCCCAGCTTTCCAGAGTTCCCTACCAGGCCCTGCTGATGCAGTAGAGATGTACTGCGATGCCAGACGGTCACTGCTTGGCCTCCTTGATGGGGAAACCATCTCTCTTCCTGTTAGATTCCACCAGCCTGGGCCTGAGTGCAGCTCATGGGACTGCACAGACACCAGGCCCTGCTCCCAGGGAGACTTGACCATGAGCAAACTGATGGAAGTCAGGCCCTCCTGGCTGACATCACCACGGCCCTCCCCCCGCCATTGTCATTGAGTCAAAGTTGTCATGCTTGACTTTCTTCTTCCTTAGGATGTGTTTTCTCCCAAGAGGTACCTTAATCCCTAAACCCTCATTTCAAAAAAGAAGAAGTTTTGAGGAAGATCTGCCTTAGCAAATCATCCCAACTTCTAGTAGGGCTTCAGCTAAAATCCCGAGAACAGGTGCACATAGATAAAGGACCTCATGGTGCACACTTTCCATTTGGCCTTCCAGCCCAAGGGTGGCAATTGCGCTGATGTTTGAGGTCAAGGCTGAGGCCGTACATGTCCTTTCATGCCTAGTGTAGCCAGGTGTTTGCCATCTCTGTCCAGAGTGACCAGCATATCCACAGGGTTAGTGGCTTCTGATGGGTAGTGATCACCCAGGAGTCTACAACATAGGCTCTGGGTCTGAATTCTGGAGGTTTGGGGCTAAGGGACTCATTGGCAACTGCATAGCACCTTTGAACAATTCAGAATTGTCCTGAGGGCCTGGGGCTCTGGGCAAGGTTTCCTGCTTCCCACGCCAGCTTCTGGTGGCAACAGCACAAGAAGCAGCAAGCTCGCTTTGCCTTTTTTGGAGACAAGAGTTTTTTGGAAATCGAATTTATATTCCTGGGAAAGATATGGTAGAGAATATGCTTTTCATTATATTCATGGAGGCAGAGGAGTAGAAGGGTCAGGCCCAGGGCCCCATAGCTGAGGCTTTAGCACCAATTTCCTCTGGAGGAGCCGCTCCTTGTACACACTACTTTCCTAAGAATTTGACACTGTAAGACTCAGGACATGGGAATGAGACTTGGAGAGCCCCAATTTCATCTCTTCCACTGGCTTTTTTTCTTCCTTTCCTTTTAAGTTCTACCTAGGCCTGTCATTTCTGCTTTGCAATGTCCCAGGAGTCCAGCTTCCTGCCCACATCTTCAGAGCCCTGACACAGCAGTGCCCTGGCCCCCATCCGTGCCAGGGCTGCCCAGAGGCAGACAAAGCAGAAGCATCCCAGCCCTGTGTCTCCCCTTGCACGTCAAGGGACGCTTTCACCATCTGCTTTCAATGAAGTGTGGGTTTCGGGACATATTATGGAAACAGAAACGGAAAAACCATCGAGGTCCCTCCTGCAAAAACCATCATTATCCACTGAAATGAACTCTCAGGAACTTCCGGGTGTGGAGCACATCACTATTAATGAAGAAGAATTCAGACAGGAATTCTGGCCCGGCTGGACAAAGGAGAGGGAAGAAGAAATGGAATGTTTTGACTCACCCAGAAGTTAAGAAGAGAGTCCCTTAACAGAGCAAACAGTACCGTCCTACAGCCAAGGCTGTGGAATCTGACACCAGCCTGATTTCTCTCCGACTCCAGAATGCAGCTCCCAGGGCTCCAGTGCGGGGGAGGTGAGCTGAATTACCAGAGGAACACCCAGCACTCAGTCAAGGTCGAACCTCAGCCAAGGCTGGAAATGTCATCTGCCCTGATGGCAGCACACTGGAGAGGGGGCCTGGCCCACAGGATCTGTGAGCCCCCACGAGGGCTCAGAACAGACTCATGCTGGGTCTCCTGGTGGAATTTGCTGCCCTTCACATCAGCCCCATTCAACCCTCCTGCTGAGGAGGGGCTGTGTGTGAGACAGAGGTTGAATATGTCTATGGCTTAGCATGCTAGAAAAGGACGCCTGGAGGACCATGCCGGTGTACACCAGGCACTCAGCAAGGATGGGGAAGAGGGGTGCAAGAGGAATCTCTACAATGTTCTCCCATCTTTTCTCCTCCCCAGAAAAGAGTCACCACAATCCTTGTCAGAGGGCAATGTAAATCTGCATGCTGGATGCTATTACAGGGTTGAAGTAGGGTGTGTGTGTGTGTGTGTGTGTGTGGTGTGAAAGCCCTACCCTTGCTTTCTGATGCTTGAAATTCTGCACTTCCTGCACTTTTCTTCTTTCTCTCTTAAGATATCATTATGTTGGAGAGAAAAACATTTCAAGCTTTATCAGTAAATGGCATCATCGGGGAAATTAGTTCATCAGATTCTCCTCAAGAGAAGGTCTTAATGGGAAGAAAATGAGAACCCTGAGTACTGATTTGGGAACAGGGCACCAGGAAGGAAAAAGGTGGTCACGAAAAAAAAAAAAGGTGATTTGCTCTGCTTCACAGTTTTGCTGAGAGTGACACACATTTGGTTATAACTTTTGTGTCATTAGGGAAAAGTAACTATCATGGAAGAAAGAAAGTGGCCCTCCTCATCCCAGGGATCACAAATTCCATGTCCATGTTTTTTGTTGTTGTTTTGTTTTGTTGCAGGGAGGGTTGTTGGGTTTTTGTTTTTGTTTGTAGTATTGGGGATTGAATCTAGGGCCTGGTGCATACTAGGCAAGTTCTCTCTCAACTGAGCTATATCCTCTGCTTTCATGTCACTGTTTTACAGAGAAAATATTTTTTAGTTAGGTAATTGATTTGGGAAATCTGAATGGCTCATACATAGGTCCATTTTTTTTTAAATACCTATCTTAGTCTGTTTTTCTCTTACTATAATAAAATACCCCAAACCAGGTCATTTATAAAGACAAGACTTTTAGGCTTACAGTTCTGGAGGCTGGGTGTCTGTTCAGAGAATGGCAGTGGTATCTGCTCGGCATCTGACATGGACCTTCTTGCTGCATCATATGGCAAGACAGGAAAAGCATGCTAGGTCAGGTATCTCTTCCTCCTCTTATAAAGCCACTAATTCCATCAGGGAGGCCCTATCCTCATGTCCTCATCTAATACTAATTATCTTTCAAAAACCCTACCTCCAAACACCATTGACATATGACTTTGTGGGTTGCTTCTAACACATAAAGTTTGGGAGAAGTATTTAAACCATAGCAATACCCTACTTCCAGGTACTAAACTTTCCTCTGGGCAATTTTTACTGTTGACAAAAGAAAGCAAGGGAGGCACATCTATGAGTCTGAAGGGAAAGGAAAGGAAGGTACACCTGCAGCCCCAGCCCTGCCCTCCATTCCCCAAGTTCCCTGGATGACTGCACAGCACAGACCCACCTGCCGGCAGGAAGGTGCCGCACTTAGCTTCCCAGATGTCACTCTAGCAATGGTAACTGTCATCAGTGAGACTGGGAACTAGGAGACAGATGGCCCTCAGAAACTTCAAGGCCGACTTTACCTTGGTGTGGGCGCACACATTAACCTCCAAATTACAATGTTATAGTAAAGATCTTCTTAATTTTTCCCAGGCTGCGAGAAGGTGCTGGTGGCTGTCACTCTTCCCCTCCCCTGCAGAGGACAGGGGCTGCTTGTCCTCCCTGTGGGGAAGCTATTTATTTACTCAACTCTCTGGATAACTCCCCAACAGCATCTGAATGGCAGGCTTATGTAAATCAGAGCATGGTGGCTGCATGTGCTGGGAAAGCAGGCAGCCTGTCCCACCCAGCTCTTTCCTGAGCTCAGAGCCACTATGCACACGTCCCATGGCAGAGGGCCAGGGTTCTAGTAGTTCCCTTGCTACATGCAGGTCTGCAGCCTGTCCAACAAAGACAAGACCTTGCAAACCAAAGCTCCCCTTGATTCGTTGTCTTAAGAGAATTAAGTAATTACTTACCATATATTGCTCATTCTTTAGTACTGAGCACTTGTTCAGTAATATTTTTATTTTGCTATCTACATACTGGCTGGAGCCAATTGAGCCACATGACATTCTGTGAATCTGATTGGTTACCAGTGTCGTTGGAACTAGTAGGACAGGGTAAGTTTATTTTGGCTCAGTGACTGGCTATGCATTGCTTAGTGACCACAAAATATGACAGAAAGGAAGTAAGCTATGTAGAATAATAACAACAGCCAACACTTAGATACAGGCTAAGCTGTGCCAAGCATTCTTCTAAACACTTCACATGTTAATTCATTTAACTCCTCAAAGCAACTGGATGAAGTAAGTTCTATTATTATCCCCATTGTACAGATAAGAAAACCCAAGTACAGAGGTGAGCAATTTCCCCAAAGTCCCAAATGGACCACATACAGCCCAAGACTCATTCTCTGTCTCATCTTCTACACTGGAAATTGCCCACTTTGGTTATTAATGAACTCTGGTCAATTAACGGAGCTGATGTGCCATGTCTGGATTTGTGCTGCCACCATGAGGAGGAGGAAAAGCCAGTCGAGCTGGGTCAGGGAGGAGCTCAGGGACTGGGGACAGGGAAGAAGAACCTGGAGCTGAGGTCCGGCTGGTGTCTCCACTCAAGAAGCAAGCAGCAAAGAAAGTGACCCTGTAGCCAGCCTGCTCCCTCCCCTGCGGTGACCTGGACGAATAAGCCAGGGCAAAGGGCAGAGCAGGCCTCGCCTGCAGACCCCAGTGCGTGAAACCGAGGCGTGAGTCCTGAGCTCAGAGTCAAGGGCCAAAGGGAAATGGAACACCAGGCTGCCCTCTGGCTGGGTCATCTGCCCCAAAGGATGAGCTTGGTGAGAAGAATGCAGTCTATGAGTAAGATACGGAAACCGTGAGCCAGGGAGCAGGTGGAGCTACTGAGGGGGTAGGGTGGGGTGCAGCGCGAATCCCCACAGTCTACTGGACATTGCAAGCTGTTTATCATGGGAACCCTTCTGGCCTAGTGTATCCCTGGGGTTGGGGTAGGTGAGGGTCTGTTCTTCCTTTCATATCTCTAGCTCAGCAGAGCCTGGTTCAGAGGTTAGGGGACGATGGAGCTACTAGAACATTCTCAGAAGACATGACCAAGACCCAGAAATCCCAGCTCACCCCACCCCACACTGGGATTCAGAGAGACAAGATTGGTTAATGGATAGATGGAAAGCCCTTGGAGAGAGATAAAACTAAGTTTAGACTTTGGCTCTGTGACCTTGGGCAAATTAATACGCTTCCTCCAAGACTCAGTCTCTCCAGGTATAAAATGGGAACAATATTAATGTCCTGGATAAATGAGGTAAGAAACACAGTAGGCTTTATTCAATAAAGGACACTTGCCACTGTTCTTAGTACTCGTGTCAGGAATAACAAAAACATTGACAGAAGGCAGGCAGGAGGGGGCAGGAACAAGGTAAAACTGCCACTCTCTTTTGGAGGCTCTCCTTTCTCCCCCTCCTTCTAAGTGGGTATGAGCCTTTCCTATGGGCCACCTCTCTCTCTTCCCCTCAGTACCCTGAGCAGGTACTAAGTGCTTAAGAAATGACAAAGTGGTAGGTTGGGAGGAAGCCCTCCGTCTTCACTCCCTCATCTCTGACTTCATTTTCTGCCTCAATAGAAAGTGCCACCAGGGATGTCTTGATCCAAATAATCATCATAAAACCAAACTCTCTTTGATTTCCATGACCATTTTCTCAGAAGGTGTGCAAATCCTGGGGAGTTGACGAGGCCTCCAAGGCCCCCTCCTCCCCGGAGGCTCGGGATGCTGAGAGGAGGACTGACTGCCAGCACAGAAGGTATGTCCTGCCCTTCTGACCTCCCCTGGGCCTAGGCAGATCATGGCCCCTGTGAATGATGATGGCTTCAGCATCGGCTGTCTAGTTTCAAGTCTCTTTGTAAAACAAATTCATAAGCTTCATAATTCATAACAAATTCGTAAGCTTCCACCTTTTAAACCATCATGTGAAAAATCTGTTTCTCCAGACAAAGTTTCCATCATCTTGAATAGGTGCCCACCTCCAGCATCACGACAGAGGTGGGCCCCAATACTCACCCCCAGAGACCTTGAAAACCTGGACACCCTAGGGGAGGTGAGTATCCCTCATCCTCGTAGCCTGGCCTTCTCTATCCCATCAGAGAACACCTCTGCTACCTGAAAGAGCTGCCGGGAGCTCCCAGCTCACCCAGCTCTGCCTAGTCAGGCCTGGCCTCAGGATACATCAGTTAACAAAGGAAAATTCAAAGGGAGCCTGATTTTCCCAGCTGCCAAAGAGGGGAAAGGAAGCCAAACTCTGTGAATCATACAATACCATCCGAACAATTCAAGGAACTATCCAAAGGAAGTGACCAAAATAGCCCAGTGACCACTGCCTGCTGGGGGAGTAAAAAAATGGAAGCCCATATCTCCATAGCACAGGGCAAGGGCACATTTAAAAAAGAAAAGAAAGCCCCCCCCCCCCAGCAGGGGAAACTGCTGCTTATAAATATTTACTGAAGCGAGTTGTCTGTTAACTCCCAAGCCCAGGAAGGAAAAGATCGTGGAGGAGGGCAGAGATAGCAGCCTTGGTGCTAGGGCTGCCTTGCCCTGTCTGACCTGAGCGCTGCCTCACTTCATGGGTCTGGGTCCCCTGGGGGTTCTGGGTAGCTTGATTCGGGCCAAATTCGGGCTCCTCTCCTTCACCCTTCAGAGCTGATGCTTCAACATTCATCAGCACACCCTGGCAGGTGGGAGGACTTGCTCCGGGTACCAGCTTGCACGTGGAAGCAAAGAAGAAGAGCCTGGGGTCCAGGCTGTGCAGCTCTCCAGGGAAAGGACCTCATTTTCAGAGAAGCTAACTCCTGAGTTCTTTTCCCTCTCCCTCTGATCTAATGGAGTCAATTCTGAAAAATCTTTCTCCAGAGTGAAAGAGTTTTAAAGACTTCAAGACCCAGCTAACTAAACACGGAGCCCAGGAGAGGATAAACAATCGTCTGTTATCAAACTCATTATCCTTGGCTTCAAAGGACTCAAACGTGTTTACAAAAAGAACACGAGAGTTCTCTATGTTTATTTTAAAGTATGGACTTTA